GATCTTTTACCACTTCTAAATGTACAGCCTTCGTCGAAAAACAAACGAATAAACAGATGTAGCATTTTACTGGAGGTCTGGTTCGCACTTCAGATTTATAATAGAAGGGACCGCAGAAGTCGATACCAGTAGTGTGGAATACTCTATTTGGTTGCACTCTGTCGCGCGGTAGATCTCCCATTATATATTCGACATGTTTTTGCTTAAGTCGAAAACAACGAACACATTTGTTGATAACGCGTGTTATAGTTTTTCGACCACCAATTGGCCAATATTGCAAACGAATTGTGGCGAGCAGACTTTGTGGCCCGGCGTGCAAATTCTTCTGATGAAAATAGGTTATCATTGCGTTTGTGATAACATGAGCTTTTGGAAGTATCATTGGATGGCGAGCCTCGAAACTTAGTAATGAATGTTTTAGTCGACCACCTACACGAATTACTCCAAATGAATCAATAAAAGGATTGAGGGAGTAAAGTTTACTTGAACTATTAACATTTTCTCCTTTTTTTAATATTTTGTATTCAGCAGCGAAATGAGTTTGTTGTATGTTTAAAATCATTAATTTTGTACCCCTTTCAATATCCTGAGGATCAAGTTGGCCAGTTTTCCTTATGGTCTCTTTATGTTTGAGTGACACGAATCGATAAATATATGCGAAAACTATCTGCATTTTATTAAATGAGTTAGCGAATTTACAGGATAGCGTTAAATCTTGCTGACATGTAGTTATTAAAACTCTCCTGCGTCGTTCAGGTAATTCTGCTACGAAAACAGTATTTTGGGGCCAATGTAAATGCGATGTTCTTAAAAACTCAGGTCCTTGTGTCCAAAGTGTTGAGGCTAAAAGTTCATCTGGCGCTGCTCCTCTTGATAAGATATCTGCAGGATTCATAGAAGTTGGTACATGATGCCAATTCATGCCACAGGTAAGAGTTTGAATTTTGCTAATTCTATTAGAGACAAAAACGTTAAAATTGGACGGTTGTTCACGTATCCAAGATAATACCACCATTGAGTCTGACCAGCAATGAAAATCGCATGTAAAATTTATAGTTTTGACGACCATATCAATGAGTTCCGATAAAAGTAGAGCAGCTGAAAGTTCTAGCTTGGGAACTGTAAGTGTCTTTAGTGGTGCAACCTTTGATTTGGAGCATAGTAGATGCGAATCAAATGCACCCGAGCGCTCACACCTGATATATATACATGCACCATAAGCACTCAGACTGGCATCACAGAAACCATGTATCTGCACTTTAGAATTAGGCATTAAAACATAACGAGGGAATTTAAAACTGCTGATAATTGTAAGTTGAGAGCGAAGTTCAATCCATGCTGAGTATAATGCTTGTGGTAGACTCTCATCCCAATGCAATTTGTGTTTCCATAAGGTTTGCATGAAAATTTTAGCCTTGGTGATGATAGGTCCAATTAATCCGATTGGATCATAAAAACGGGCTATAGTTGAGAGAACAGTACGTTTGTTGATTTGCTGGCTACCTACCACTGGAGTAAATGAAAATAAAAAATTGTCGTGGTTTGGATCCCATACTAAACCTAATGCTTTAGTAATATCAGAACCATCTTTAAATTTCAATAATTGTACACGTTCGGAGTCAGCGATACCACACAATACTCTTGGATTATTGGAACACCATTTTCTGATCTGGAAACCACCCTTTTTTAATAATTCAGTAGTTTGCCTTCTAATGTTGATTACTTCATCCACGGTGTCGCCGCCTGACATTAAATCATCTACATAAAAATCTCTGAGAACGATTTTAGAACCCAATGGGTATGATTTCTCTTCATCGCGAGCCAGCTGATGCATTGCTCGAATAGCTAAAAATGCAGCTGGCCTTGTTCCATATGTCACAGTGTCCAATTTGAATACCTTTACGTCATCATCGAGATTACTTCTCCACAAAATGCACTGAAGATATTCATCGGGATGTGTAACACGCACGCATCGATACATTTTACAGATATCTCCACAAAGAGCAATTTTAAAATATCGGAATCGAATAATTAATTCAAAGAGTGTGGATTGAATTGTAGGTCCAGACATCAGCAGATCATTAAGAGAAAATCCGGTGGATGTTTTAGCTGACCCATCGAAAACCACACGCAATTTTGTAGTTGTACTTTCATTTTTTAGCACACAATGATGAGGTAAAAAACACGTTGGAACACCTGATGGTAATTGTGCTGGTGACATGTGCTTTAAATTTATATACTCATTAATAAAATCAACATATTGAGTTTTTAAATCAGCATTACGTTGCAACTTTCTTTCTAAACTGTGAAATCGTTGAAGTGCATGATTATAAGAATCTCCGAGTGAGTCGATATTACGCTGCTTAGGAAGTAAAACAGAATATTTACCAGAATCTAACCGAGTAAAATTTTGTTTGAAATGGGTTTCGCAATATGCGTCTTCGTCTGTTAGCGAAGAGTGCGCGTCAAAACAATTTTCTATTTCCCAAAACCTTTTTACAATTTCATTTAACGATTTTTCATTTTCAAATTCCAATTCAGTGGTTGATTTCTTAGCTATAGCTAACGAAAATGAGTGATTGTATTTTGGAATAATACCGCCACCTGATGCTATCCAACCCAGCCTTGTCTTCTGTAACATAAAATTATTTTCCAGACGAATTTGTCCAATACACAATAAGTTAAAAAATAAGCCGCCACCTAGTAACACATCGATTCTCTGTGATTTGAAAAACATCGGATCAGCTAAGGTGATGTTGTTTGGAATTGACCAATCTGAAATGTTTACGTTAAAGTTTGGTTGAGGATCTGTGATAGTTGTTGTAACGATCGCAGTGCATGAAGTTGAATAATCGCCTGAGTGCGATTTTGTAAATAGCTCAACAACCTTGTTTGTTTCAAGTGTAGAATCCCCTATGCCTGATATGGTTGTGTATGTTGTTTTCGTATTTAACTGCAGCAAGTTGACTAAACGAGAAGTTATAAAATTGAGTTGAGACGCAGAATCGAGAATTGCTCTACATGGAACGAAAGTTCCTGAGGAATTTTTGATGAGAATGATTGCAGTAGCTAGTAGCACACTATTTTCAGATAGAAATTCTGGGGCTTTAGGAATAGACGTTACAGAGGACAGTGAGAGCAGCGACGTATTTTTTGAAGTTGATGGCTCTTCCGACCG